AATATATAAAGTCACATTTGATGATGTTGCAGGCGTTTATCATCCGAATATCTGAATTATTAGTAGGCCTTTAATGTATACATTATTTTAATCGATTTCAACATGCTGTGTATAATATTTAATAATAGCCTACTATGATGGACAACCATATATTTTATTCTTTATTTACTGACATGTTTAAAGTCGGAGGCGGACTTTAAGGTGGGTAGTTATGCAGTCGTCCGGAGCTAATACATTTTTTTAAAAATTAAAAGAAAATATTTTGTCAAAAGCGGCTGTGTTATTAGATTTCTCGGTAGTAAGTAGGGGCCCATCGCCTTTCAGGGACTCATTTGGACATGGAAGAAGTACGGTAAGCGTTTCCCTAAAAAACACAGGCATTACATAACTGGTCAAACCTCCATAGTGGGGCATCCAGGGGCATAGTTTAAAGAACCCCTTCTAATAAATCTGCCAAATATTGTGTTTGTGCGATTTTGGTCTATTTGGTTTTTTCGGAAATTATACAAAATGTTACGTATTGTTAAGGCGTTGTAGGAGAGTGCTGAGTATCAGTGTTTTTAACCCTCTCCAGGGCCCATTTAAACTCGGACTTCGCCCAGAAAGCACATGCGTTACTTAAGACTTGGTAGTTTTAGATAGTAGTAGGAGCGCCCCCCCCCCACCCGCCATCCGAGAGCTCACGAGTTACGCAAATGGGTCTTGTTTATTTAATATGTTATGCCATAATTGGACTTTATTGGACAATACATGAAACACTACACCGTCTCTGATATATAAACTGCAATACATTATTCAGCATCGGAAGAGCTTTCCAACGATACCAAGCACGTCCGACTACTTTTTGGTGAGTTTATATACTTATTCTTATTTTATACACATTTTAAGTATATTTTGCGGATATTTTAAAACAAATAAACACCTATTTTTGAATTATGTTCCATTCTGGCATGAGCGACAGTAGTGTGTATATGTCTGGTTTGTTGCCTGTATAGAAATTATGATTTTAGACACCAACATCATATCTGTAGATTATTTAGTTCCAATTATATGCACATTTTAGATAAATTTGGCGACCATTTTTAAAAATGGCCGCCATTTGTATACCAGGTGGAAAAACAAGTGTCAACAGGGCTTAGGGTGACCAGGAGGGATTAATTAGGATATCTGGCTATGTTGACTGCTTCTAACATTCCACTCCCCCTTACTTGATTTCTAGGCCTCTTTTTTTATTTTTTTCCTAGTCTAATAGGGCTTATTTTAGGCCCTACATTGTTTATAGGCCTTAATATGTTGACTACGGGCCTATCCCACTTCTAGATTCGTTATCTGCCATTTAATTCGTAAACCTTCCTGTGATATCGTTTTTGAAATACATGTATCTCAGTTTGAAGTGATTTTTATAAGGATTGAAAGGTCGCTGTGGTACATGATAATATAGGCTTAATATATGTACACCTTTTTACATATAATCAGGGCCGGCGGAACGTTTTTCAAAGTGGGGGGCCCCACTTATAAGCAGGCGCGTAACAGGGGTCTTGAGTCGGGGGGGGGGGGGGGGGGCAAAGGAAAAAATTTTCCCGGTTAGTAATTTATGACCCGGTGTGACACTCTCCCCCCCCCCCATATAGAAAACAATACGGCATGGCTTATTTTAATATTATTATAGGGCACACGCGTGTGTTTGGAACTAAATATAAGCATTTTCATCGTGGTTTTATTTATTACAATTCATAGGCCTATTCTCTCACCATCATTACACATTGAGGCCCTTCTTTAATAGGTAAAACGATCTATCTTAAATTTTCTTTCTTTGAGTTTGGGACTACTTAGAAGGCAAAGGTGAGCAAGCACAAGCTTTTAACATAAAAAATGCGCGCGAAGCGCGCGAAAAATTGTTGTTTTTAAAATTCTAATTTTGTCGGAATTGATCAAAACTCCCTAAAATGTGCAATTTTTAGAGGAAATTTGCCTACCTCAACAAAATATGCGATTTAAAATTTGAGATTTTCAGGCACTTTCCCGGGTGAAAAGGGCATTCAATGGGGAAGACTTTCCACAGATGGATATTTTCCCCTTGTCCCCCGGTTATTACGCCACTGCAAAGAATACCTGGCGGCTTAGATGAAATGCGCTATGGAAACTTTTTGAAGTGGAGAATGGGTTGCAGGCAGGGGTATTGTGATATCTGTTCATTATATCTTCCTTTTTATTCTTGTCTTTATTTTTCTCTTCTCTTTTTCTTTTTCCTTTCTCTTTCTTTCCCCTCTTATATTCTTTTTCTTTCCCTCCCTCTCCCCTCTTTCTTTTCTCTTCTTACCCAGCAAGGTACGACGGCTTGGTCAGCCCGGTAAAAACCGTCAGTGGGGGGGGGGGGACAATCTGCCCCTGCCCCGCCTGTTACGCCACTGTTTATAAGATGAATGGGAATATGAATCATGCAGATCTGGAATCAAATCTAGGTGGTGGGGTCAACATTCCTCCCCAGGGAAAATTTTGATTTCTAGATGGCGGGAAATGAGCTTTCCCGACTTCTGAGGTGTCTTTTAATTACTTTTATGTTCTTCAAAATTCAAGGTTTTTCCATCTTGAAAACGGTCTGGTAATTTTTTCCCATTGTTATTACAGTAAATAGGGCTTATGTGTGTATACATACATATCAATTTAAAAAAAATAAGTAGTTGCATACGAATTTTCCATGAATCGATGAATCCCAAAAAGAAAGGGGGGTCCGGGGGTTCTTCCCAGGAAAATTTTGATTCCTAGAAGGCGGGAAATGAGCTTTCCCGACTTCTGAGGTGTCTTTTATATTAAAGTCATTAAAAAATACTTCAGAAGTCGGGAAATCTCATTGTTCACCATTTAGAAATCAACATTTTCCCGGGAAGAACTCGAACATCCCTTTCCCTGGGTTCATTGATTCATTATAATAATTTTCAAGAGGGGAACACCTTGAATTTTGAAAAACTTAAATGTAATTAAGTTTTTCAAAATTCAAAGTTTTCCACTCTTGAAAACGGTCAGATAATTTTTTCCCATTGTTATAACAGTAAATAGGCCTTATGTGTGTATACATACATAAAAAAAAGATTGAGTAAGTTGCATACGTAATTTTTCCATGAATCGATAAATCCCAAAAAGAAAGGTGGTGGGTGGGGAGGTCCTGTGGTTCTTCCCCGGGAAAATTTTGATTCCTAGGTGGCGGGAAATGAGCTTTCCCCGACTTCTGTGGTGTCTTTTAATGACTTTTAAATTCTTCAAAATTCAAGGTTTCCCCCCTCCCCCGCCACCACTTGAAAATGATTCAATTAATCAATGAACTCCAAAGATAAAGGGTCCGGTTTCCCCGGAAAAATTTCGATTTCTAGATGGCGGGAGATGAGCTTATCTGACTTCTGAAATGTCTTTTAATGACTTTTAAAGTTCTTCAAAATTCAAGGTTTTCCCCTCTTTAAAAAAGGTCAGGTAAATTTTTCTCATTTTTTATTTTATGTGTGTATACATACATAAACAAATGAGTAGTTGCATGCGTATTCTTTTTCCCATGAATCGATAAATCCCAAAAAGAAAGGGTGGTCCGGGGGTTCTCCCCTGGGAAAATTTTAATTCCTAGATGGCGGGAATTGAGCTTTCCCGACATTTGAAGTGTGTTTTGATGAATTTTATGTTCTTCAAAATTCTAATTTTCTAATAGCAAAAAAAAAAAAAAATCAGCTCACGGGTCCTGAAAGGGTAGGTCTAGAATCCTTTTCTTTCTCCCCTTTTTTTTGTTGCACAAGGGAGGGGTCAGGACCCATGATCCCCTCCTCCCAGATCCGCCAATGTGAATTGCGAGAAAATGTAACTCGGTCGGGTACTGGATAAACATTCTCTTTCCCA